GTTTGTTATCTGCTTCAACAAAACATTTTAAATTGTAAATAAATCTGGTGTGTGGTCTGACTTGCACAAATCAATCCAGAGCAGTGAATATTTTCCACATTGTGCATGGCTTCCTTGTTTTCTCCAGCACGCTTACTGAATGGCCCAGTGTAGAGGGAAGTGAAAAAAACTGGTTTGAGTTGTTAAGGGATGCAGTCTATTTGTGGAAATATTTGCAAGCTGTTTACATAAGAACAAAGTATTGGAAAAATCCCAAGTCATAACAGAAATTTAATTTACATAGTTTAACCAACATTATATCTTCAACTGAGATATGATTGTATTGTTTAATGTGCCGCTAGCAGAAACTTTCAGACATGATGGATGAGAAGGCAATAGGTACATTTCATACCAGAATGTTCACTAAATGCCTTCCTGCACCCTCTCTCCCAATAACCTGAACATTTGCACAGTTACATTCTGACATAATCATTATCTTATAGAATCCTTGGAGGTGACATATTCCAGGACCCACAGGAGGATAAAGAACAGAAATATTTGCAGAAGGAGGAGACTATTTGGCCCAACAAGCCTATCATTTGTGATGGATCTCTTCAATCTCCTCTCCAGAAACACACACAGTTATCTGCTGAGCTCAGTTACATGGTCCCAGCAATTTAATCACACAATTCTAATAATCTTATGTGAAAAGGTTTAACTAAACCTTCATCAGTGACTAATATGGCAAGATTAACTTTATTCATTCATATTTTGATTTAATTTATTCATGCATGGGATACCAACATCACTGGCAATACCACCATTTATTGATTATAATTGCCTGCCTCAAAGAATAGGTGTTGAACAATCTTCTTGAAACTCTGTAGCAATTGTGATGAAATCTTTGTAGTGCAGGTACATCGACACTGCTGTTGGATTGGGAGTTCTAGGATATTCATACAACAGTGAAGGAAGTGCTACATATAGTTCCAAATCAAAATGATGTGCAACCTGGAGGCAGTGCTCTTCTCAGGCATTTCCTATCCTTATCCTTCAAGGACGTACTGTTAAAAGATGTCTGGATGAGTTGCTGTAGTGCATCTTTTAGGTGGTACATATTGCTGTCACTGTGTATTGGTGGTGGTGAAGTATATGTTTTAAGGTGGTGATCAAACAGCTGCATTGCACTGGCCAGTGTAAAGTTTCTAAAGTGTTCTTGAACCTATGCTCATCCAGGTAAATGCAGGGTATTATGTACACGCCTGACTTGTACCATGCAAATGGCGACAGTCTTTGGAAATCTGGAGATCAGTTACTCACTGCAGAATTTCCAGCTTCTGACTTGCTCGTGGTATATAGTATTTATATGGTTGGTCCATTTCAGTTTCTGGTTAATGATGAGCACCCCCATCCAGGACATTGAGGATTAGAGATAATGTCACGAGGGGAGGTAGTTAGGTTCTGTCATGTTCGAGATAATCAATACATGGCATTTGTATAGTGCAAATGGTATCTGCTACATAAGTGCCCAAGTCTAGACCTTGTTCAGATCTTGCCGTATTTAAGCATAGGTCACTTCATTATCAGAGGAGTTGCGAATGGAAGTGAACATTGCACAATTAACAAACATTTCTATTTTTAACTATATAACAAAGGGAAGGCCATTAATAAAAAGGCAGCTAAAAATGAGATTATATAAAATCCATACAAAACATAGTGGGGTTGAGCCTGGGGCACCAGTTTTCCTGGGGAATATCCTGGCGTTGAGGTGCTTGGTCTCCCAAAAACCGCATCTTCCTTCATGCTGGGTACAACTCCAGCCAGTCAAGGTATTTCACCCAATGATTCACATTGACTTCAATTTAATTAGGGCTCCTTGTTGCAACACTTGATCAAATGCTGCTTTGTCATCAAGGGCAGTCATTCTGACCAGTCTCTGGAATTTACAACTCTTTAGTCCATGCTTGGACCAAGGATTTAATGAGGTCTGGAAAAGAGTGGACTTGGCAGAATTCAAACAGTGCTTCAATAGACAGGTTGTTGGTATTATGTAATGGTACAATTGACAATACCTCGACCACCTTGCTGTTGATTCAGAATAAGCTGTTTAAGATTTGTCCTGCTTTTAGTGCATAGGACATACTGGGATCATTTTCCATATTGTTGAATAAATACTAGTGTTAAACTGAGTCACTGAGGTAAAGTTCATTTGCAAGTTGTTCTGAAAGTTTTTGTTTGTACCATTTCAAAAGTCTTTTTTTCACATAACGTGCTCAGCTTTCAATCCTGACACCTGGACTTGTCTATGTTACATCCTCTCAAGGTCACTCCCCACCACTATACCTTTCAAAGTCCATATTGTCTTATGATTTGGTGACTAAAAATGGACACAGTACTCCAAATGGGGCCTCATCAACGCTTGCATGGAAATCTAATTCACGTTGGTCTCGTGGTAATTCCAACTACAGGTGGAATGTCCACTCACAATTGATTCGACCACAATGACATAGATCCTCAAGTATTGGCATAACATTCACTGCACTGTACCGTCAGTAAAGTAAAGGATAAACAAAGTGGCAGCACAAAATTGACAGAAGCACACTATTGCAAACTGTGCATTATTGCAGATTGTGCACAACAAAAGCCACCTATGCAAATCAAGCAATGAACTTATTTGACTGCCTTGGCTTAGCTCTGAAGAAGGGTCACTGGACTAAAACATTAACTCTGATTTCTCTCCATAAATTCTGCCAGACCTTCTGAGTTTTTCCAGTAATTTCTGTTTTTTGTTTCTGATTTCCAGCATCACAGTTCTTTCAGTTTCTTTTATTAGGAATTTGAAACTGTTTGGATCTTCAGGAAATAACCAATCATACACACAGATTAGTCCCTGATGATTGTCGTTTTATAGTGGCAAGAGTTTGAAATAATGCAATGTTATAATTTTAATCAACAGCAATGAATAGGGAATATCCAGTTGGAATAAAAATAAAACTGCTTTTGGCCCTCATCATTTGACAATCAAAGTGGCTGTTGCTGAGACAATTCAACACTCCAGAGCAAAGAAAAAATAATCCTTATCTCAAAAGTACCATCTGGGGACAACAAAATCTGGTTTTAGACTTTACATTAATAAAACCTCAACATAAAAAGATAAAGTTTTCTTTTGGCTTTTGTGGGGAGGCATTAGCCTAATGGTATTATCATTAGACTATTAATCCAGAGGCCCAGGTAATCCTCTGGGGATCTACATTTCAATCCTGCTGTGGGGGATGGTGAAATTTGAATTCAATAATGTGAAATTAGGGTCTAATGGTGACCATGAAACCACTCTCAGTTCACTAATGTCTTTTAGGGAAAGAAACCGGTCATCCTCCCCTGGTCTGGCCTACATGTGACTTCAGATCCACACCAAAGGGCATGACTTAATTGTCCACTGGGTAATTAAAATGTGCAATAAATGTTGGGGAGGGGAAGGTGATAGTGGTATTATCATTGGCCTGTTAATCCGTAGACCCAGATAATGCTCACAGGACCCAAGTTCAAATCCCACCACAGTAGATGGTGGAATTTGAATTGAATAAATATTTGGAATTAGGAATCTACCGATGACCATGAATCCATTATCAATTGTTGAGGAAAAACCCATCTGGTTCACTAATGTTCCTTAGGGAAGGAAACTGCCGTCCTTACCTGGTCTGGACTACATGTGACACCAGATCCACAGCAACTGTGGTTGACTCTTAACAGCCCTCTGGGCAATTAGGGATGGGCAATAAATGCTGCATAGCCAGCAACACCCTCATCTCACGAATGAATAAAAGAAAAAACAATGCCCACATCCCATGAGTGAATAAAAAAATTGCAATTACTGCAGACAAAGTGATTAATTTATCACTACCATCCACTTTTTATCTGGAGAATGTGATAGCGTCTGGCATAGAATTTACGACAATCTCTAACTAACCATGGATTGAATCCCTTCTCAATAGTAAAGTAACATCATTCCAACTCCAGCATTTGATTGGATAGATATACCTGGATTTCTCGAGTGTACTCCAATTTCAAAACTGACATTATACAAAAGCCATTGAGGGCATAATACTGTCAACAAACCATATCCCTTTTCCTACTTCCAACCTAACAATGCCATTGGTGACCAGGTTCCAGTACCTGTTCACTTTTCCTCCAATCCATGCGTTAGCTTGGAATCCACATCACCTTCTGACGTAGACACGTTCTGACAAATAACCAGACACATCTCATCAATCATTGCTTCTACATTGATCCTCCCGTAAAATACCTAGGGATAGTTCGCAATGTAAAATGCAATAAATAAATAGAAATACTGCTATTCGAGTGTCCATGAACGTCGAATCGTGTGTTACTGACAGTGCTGTGACGGAAGGCCTGGGCTCTTGTTAAACAGAACCCTTTGATTCATTATTCAAACCTCAGGGGCAAATGTAAAACTAAAACCTGGTCTGGGACGGGAACCCAGTATCGTAGGTTTGAAGACGTGCAAAACGAATCGTCCTTTCGCTTGTACAATATGGGTGCCTTTTTGCCCAATTAAGCCCAAAGTTGAGCGAGGAGAAACATAGAGAAGTCAGTAACAAAAACACAGAAAAAACTCAGGTCTGGCAGCTTCGTGGAAAGAAAGCAGAGTTCAGGTTTCGTGTTCAGTAACCCTTCCTCAGAACAAGAAGTCAGTCAATTAGAGAAGACAGTCCTGTTCAAGGTGAACAAATGATCAAGGCGAGAATGGGCCGCTTCTTACTGTATTGGTATAAACAAGTGCAACTTTGACTATAAACAACAGCCAGATTACAGACTGCGTGGGGGGAGGTTGCACAATCTATCGATCGTAAACGGATTTTTTCAGTTTTTCTGCAGGAATGCCGACCCAGATGCAAATCACAAAAATCAAGACAAGCCACAACTTGTTGAGTTTACTGAAGAAGGAACACCTGGTAAAGCTGCCCTTGCGAATTTCCATTTCCCTTTTCGAGATCTCTCACCTTGTAACCACAGCGAGACCTTCCGGGGGCTCCAGGTGTTGATCGGTTCCATTCCCACCTCACACCCGACCAAAACACACGTTCAGTTGGCGATTCCAATTTCTCCCAAAACACTCTGAGATTTTCACCGAAAGTTCAACCGCTTCCGCCCAGCTCCGTCACACGCAGGTAGGCGGCGGCGGCGAGCCCCCATTGGTCGCTGCACCTGTCATTGACCAAACAAGGTGCGGCCTGAAGAGAGCAGACAGAGCAACAGAGAGATATGGGCGGCCAGGGAGGGACCGGGGTAAATGGTAGTGCTAGGTTAGACTCCCAATCTACTGACACCATTAATCAAAGGATTATTGTCAGTATTCCTCATGAGAAAATTAAAATACCTGAACGTAAAGCTAACTCCAAAAAAGTGAAAATTGTGCTAAGACTACACCAACAATGATGAAAACAAGCGACTTGCTTCATTTGCCAACGTTACGGAAATGTGGTTGTAGCCATGTTCAGGAAAAAATACTGTACATTCAGTGGGGGAGGGAAAAGAGAAAAGTGGAGAGAAAAGATGGGGTGATGGGGTGATGGGGTGATGGGGTGAAGGGGGGGGAGGGGGGAGGAGGGGAGGAGGGAAGAAAAGGGGGGTGGGGGGGGGGGAGGGGAGAAGGGGGTGAGGGTAGGGAGAAGGGGCTGCGGAAAGGGAGAAGGGATGGAAGGAGAAAAGGGTGGAAGGAGTTAAGGGGAGGGGAAGAGGGGAGAAAGTGGGGGGCATTGGGGAAGAAATAGGAGGGGAGGAATGGGGTGGAGAGATAGAGGGTGGAAATGGTGGGGAAAGCGAGAAAGGGGAAGACAAAAGGAGACAGAGAAAAGGGGGGCGGTTCTCCCGGATGTAAAGATGACGAAATGTTTGACTACTATTTTTCAAGTGTAGGTAAAAGTGGCAGGATTTGTATCTACCTAACCTAGTTGCAAGGTGTCTGCGAAATGCTACTGAGTTCAATGACGTGGCCAAGTGTGAAATATTAATTAATGATTTAGAAGCAGCAATTGCATCCACAAATGACCGAATTAGGGATGGGCAATGAATGCTGATGTCGCCAGACGCTCACATCTCGAAAATACATTTTAAGGAAACTGAAGATGATACTGAATTAGTAACATGATGAATTATGAAAAACATCTTATGCAAATTCGAAGAAAGATCTAGGCGAATACGATTCGTGGTGGAGATCCAGCGGATCGACCATGATACAGGAGAAAGGGTCGCTGGACCCGAAACGTTCACTATGATTTCTCTCCACAGATGCTGCCAGACTCGCTGAGCTTTTCCAGCAATTTCTGATTTCGTTTCTGATCTACGACATTCGCAGTTCTTTCGGTTTTTGTGAGACAGGAAAGGTTTGTTTGTGAGATTTGTCAGAGAGAAATATTATCTGCCAAATAGGAATGTGCTGAAAGTACCAGAAGAGATTTTTAACTGGCTAAGTCAAAACCACTATGCTTCCAGGCTGTGGTGTCAAACTGGGTGTCGGAGTGAATGGCAAGGGATCTAAGTTAGAAACTTATACAATTTGTTGTAGAACTGACAAAAAAACATTAAGAACAGAAGCAGACGTTGCTGGAAAAGCTCAGGAGATCTGGCAGCACTTGTGGAGAGAAAGCAGAGCTAACGTTTCGGTTCCAGTGACCCTTCCTCGGAAACTCAGACCCTTCCTGAGTTGAACAGAACCCATCATTGACTGCCCATTGTTCACAAGTCCTGCGACACGCACAGTGACTAACTCACCCCAGTAACTTTTAATTGAACATCCGAGGTATTTAAAGTGGGTTCAAGGAGGTCACATTTTTAACCATGGCTCAATCAAAATCATCCCAGGCGCTTTGGGGCCTGGCAGATATAACCGGCAGGGATGTCAGCAGGGTGCAGCTTTCACGGAGGATCGGAATCAGACAGTGATCCTGATATTAATAAAGTAATGACACTGGAAAATGCTGCTGGAAATAGATCTTCATTGCTCGTTGCTGAGACTCCCAAACACAACTTTGCTCAACTTCCAGCAGGTGCGCCCTGACCTCTGCTGTACCAGTGGGAGGCTGTCACGGCGAGAAGGGGTATTACTGACAATGAATTAAATACAAGAGGTAGGGTCAGAGGGGGAGCAAAGAAATACAATAAGGAAAAAAAAATCAAAGTACAGAAACGTGGGGAAAATACAGTAGAGCAGAGAGATTAAGTGGGCAACTGCTGATCGCTTCCCATGTCCTGCTTTAATTATATACCAATACTTTCTTCTGATCAATTATCAATATTTGGCTTTGATTGGATATGGATTCCCTGCTCCTACTAGTTATTGACCCTCTTTCCCCCGTTCTCTGTGTGAAGCTATGTCACTGGTAAACACTGGTTGTATTTGGTTACCTCCAGTCATGCCTCTCTGTTGACAAATCGCTCTATTTCTAGCAACCTCATCACGGCCAAATGCTAAGCTCTTGGATCAGTCCCAATTTCAAGCGCCCAGAACTTTCTAACATTGGTATAAAGAGCCTCCCACCAGCACTGGCAGCACTGTCTGTGCAGCAGCAATTCACTCCTCTTCCTGCAACCATGAGCTCCAAAGGTACCCCGGCGGTGGGCATCGACCTGGGCACTACCTACTCCTGTGTTGGAGTCTTCCAGCATGGCAAGGTGGAAATCATCGCCAATGACCAGGGGAACCGCACCACCCCTAGTTATGTGGCTTTCACCGACACCGAGAGACTGATCGGGGACGCGGCCAAGAATCAAGTGGCCATGAACCCCCAGAACACCATATTCGATGCCAAGAGACTGATCGGCAGAAGATACGACGATGCTACTGTGCAGACCGACCTCAAACATTGGCCTTTTAAAGTGATCAATGACTCCTCCAGACCCAAAGTTGAGGTTCAGCACAAGGGTGAAACTAAGACCTTCTACGCGGAAGAGATTTCCTCCATGGTGTTAGCCAAGATGAGAGAGATCGCAGAGGCTTACCTGGGAAAGAGCATCTCGAGCGCAGTCATCACGGTCCCCGCTTATTTCAACGATTCCCAACGCCAGGCGACCAAAGATGCAGGGACTATCGCCGGGCTCAATGTCCTCAGGATTATTAATGAGCCCACTGCAGCCGCCATCGCCTATGGCTTGGACAAGAGGGTGGGTAGTTTGTTTGTTTAGTTGTTCTTTGGATGTGGATTTTGCTGGCTGGGCCAGCATTTATAGCCCCACCCCTTAGTTGCCCTTGAGAAGGTGGTCCTGAGCTGCCTTCTTGAACCACTACAGTCCATTTGATGCAGGTAGACCCACAAAACCCTTAGGGAGGGAGGTCTAAGATTTTGACCCAGAAACGCGGAATTTCAGCCATATATTTCAAAGTCAGGATGGTGTGAGGTTTGGAGGGGAACTTGCAGGTGGTAGTGTTCCCAGGTATCTCCTTCTAGATGGTAGTGTATGTGGATTTGGTAAACATTGTTTAAGAAGCCATGGATGATTTCTGCAATTCATCTTGTAGGTGGTCTACACTGCTGTCACTGAGCGTAAGTGGTGAACCAATGAATGCTTGCAGATGTGGTACCAGTCAAGTGGGCTACTTTGTCCAGTATAGTGTTAAGCTTCTTGCATGTTGTTGGGGTTCGCTCTTGTCCAGGCAACTGGGGAGTATTCTATCACATTCCTGACTTCACAGCTTGTGGATGGTAGATAGGTTTTAGGGGGTCAGCAGGAGGAGTGACTCATGTCAGGATTCCTAGACTCTGACCTGCTCTTGCAACCATAATACCTATGCAGCTAGTCTAGTTCAGTTTCTGGTGGAAGGTCACCTTGAGGATATTGATAGTGAGGGATTCAGTTACAGCAATGCCATAGAATATCAAGGAGCGATTGAAGGATGTGCTGTTGTTGGAGATGGTCATTGCCTGGCACTTGTGTGGCACAAATGTTACTTGCCATTTGTCAACCCAAACTTGACAGTGTCCATGTTGTGCTGCATTTGGATATGGACTGCTTCAGCATGTGAGGAATCGTGAATGGGTTTGAACATTGTGCAATCATCAGCTAACCTCCCTATTTTTGACCTTATCATGGAGGGAGGATCTTTGATGAAGCAGCTGAAAAGGGTTGGGCAGTACTCTGGGAAAATTGGGACTGTGTGTGCAGTGGTAGTGTCCCCTAACTCTGAACCAGACCGAGGTTCAAGTCTGACTTGCCCCAGATGCACGTTTGAGTGGTAAGTTTGCTCAGTTGGCTGGATGGCTGGTTTTTAATGCAGAATGACTTCAGTTCCTGCACCAACTGAGGTTACCATGAAGGACTCTCCTTCTCAACATTTTCCCTTGCCTAAGGTGTGGTGACCCTCAATTTAAATCACTCTAATGAGAGAGCAGCCCCATAAAAGTACTCTAACCTCATGTTGTGCATCAGTTGAGGGATGCTTAGGTGCATGGTGGGATCCTGTATGTGCCCATCCCTGTTCATACTTGGTGACACCATTTAAGAATGAACCCTTACTCACTTTCAAGGCAAAAATAATGGGAATTTTAATTCTCAGGAAGCTTAAGATCATTGAATTTATTTCATCAAAAAGTCATGGATGTTGGATTATTGAATTAATTCAAGGCAGAGTTACACAGCTTATTGATAGATAGGCGAGTTGAGAGTTATGTGGGGTTGGACGTAGATGGAGGCAACCAGATCAGCCATGGCCTAAGCCTACTCCTAAATCCAATGTTCCCATGGAAATAGATTGATTTTGCTAATGTAGGCCTTTTTTTCTAATTTTCCCTGGTCTATCAGGTTTACTCTGGTTATCCATAACCCAAGGCAGTTCTAACAATGAGATATAACCAATTGTTCTTTTTTAGAGCAAGGTACACTCCAAAAATGATGCAATAGATATACATCACAAGCTTGCTGTACAATGCTTACAATTGCAAATTATTTGGTTTGCATGGACGTGTCAGAGGATCAGACAAACAGGTGATCAACCTGCTGTCTCAACCTCCAGTCACTGATCAGATGACTCCTGCTAGCTATTACTCTGAAGGCGATTTCTTATTCTGCTTTGCCATGCAAACAGCCAGTTTGTACAAACTTTAACATTCCAATCTTCAGCGATTGATCAATTTGACCATTGACAAACATCATAGGTGTAACATTTTCCACGGTCTAGTTAATTTTTCACTCATTAAGACAACTGCCTGTTTTTTTTAATAAGAGGCTTATCTCTCAGTTTTAATAAGCCTAACCTCATGCCAGCTTGTTGACCCTGCTCATAAGCTGTACTCTTGTAGTTTTTATGTCATCCAATCAACTGTATAATATTTACACAACTTATGATCAACAGCTTTGTTTCACTGACAAATGGTACAGCATGCATCTAGCGCATGCATCTATTTTAAATCAGAACTTCAGTCAGACAGTATCCCAGTGCAGTCCATCTCATACTGAGTTACAGCTCTTAATTTAAACACAACCCTTCAGAAAGCAAAGTGATTTTCTAATGATAGGTCACCATTTGATTGATCTTTCAGTAGAGCAACTTTCATATGCTTTCCTTATTTTAGCTAAAGTAGCAAAATTTAGG